TACTGCATTTTACTCAGGTATGCTCAGTTGTGTAGATCCAGGTGAGTGTACACTTGTCTATTACAAGTCATTAATTCCAGGCGCAGGTATCCAGAGCGCTGGCCATCACTGAGGCTGTTCTACTCGGCTACAGATCCACGGAATCTGGTATATTGTCGAATGCATTTGTGCAAGGTAAATTTTCTCTTGACTTACATTTTCTCTCAGTCATCAAACATCGGACCGGAACCTGGGCGCTCAGTCTCTGCTCACCTCACTCTCTCTTTCTCTCTCTTTCTCTCTCTCTTTCTCTCTATCTCTCTCTCTCCTTCTCTCTATCTCTCTCTTTCACTCTCTCTCTCTTTCTCTCTCTCTCTTTCTCGCTTTCTCTTTCTCTCTCTCTTTCTCTCTCTCTTTCTCTCTCTCTTTCTCTCTAACTCTCTCTTTCTCTCTCTTTTTTTTCTCTCTCTCTTTATCTCTCTCTCTTTCTCTCTATCTCTCTCTTTCCCTCTCTCTATCTCTCTCTTTCTCTCTCTCTCTCTTTCTCTCTCTCTGTTACTATATCTCTCTCTCTCTTTCTCTTTCTCTCTATCTCTCTCTTTCTCACTATCTCTCTCTTTCTCTCTCTCTTTCTCTCTATCTCTCTCTCTTTCTCTCTATCTTTCGCTCTTTCTCTCTCTCTCTTTCTTTCTCTCTATCTCTCTTTCTCTCTCTCTCTCTCTCTCTCTCTCTCTCTCTCTTTCTCTCTATCTCTCTCTCTTTCTCTCTATCTTTCGCTCTTTCTCTCTCTCTCTCTTTCTTTCTCTCTATCTCTCTTTCTCTCTCTCTCTCTCTCTCTCTCTTTCTTTCTCTCTCTCTTTCTCTCTCTCTCTAAGCTGGAAATTTGAAAAGGGTCTAACGCTCATCTAAAGATGTATTGCAGTTATCCCTTAGAGGATTTCGATAAACATTCTATTCAATCTTTAGTACATTATACCATGTAAGCGCCATTTAGAACATTATTATTATTACTAATAAAGCCATAGTAACCATTATTATTACATAGTTTGACTAGGTTAGGTTCTTCTAGCGCCGCCACACCACAATATTTTCTTTGTGTCAGCGCCTCTGACATTATTCTTCTGGATGGATTGTTTTTATTTTATTCATGACTATACCTTCCGTATGAATAACTCACATTCTTACTATATCATATATCAGTTGTGTATTTCCATGATTTGTCTTTCGTTACTACTGTTATTCAGTCATGTATCTCCCTGATCGATGCCTAATTTCTACTCTTATCCAGCAATATATCTAATTGATCTAAGTATCATTCTTACTGTCGTTCATTTATGTATTGCACTGATCTTTTTATCATTACTTTTGTCATTCAGATGTGGAACTACTTTATCTATGAATAATTTCTAGTGTCATTAGTTCATGTATCTTCCTGGTCTACTCTTATTCGGGCACGTATCTCTTTCATTTGTACATTATTTCTACTCGTATTCAGTTATGTATCCACTTTATCTAAGTATCATTTCAGATATGAATCTCTTTGATCTATGCATTATTTCTTGAGTTAAACAGTAATGAATCTCCTTGATCTATGTATCATTTACAGTGTCATTCAGTTATGTATCTCAGTGATTCATATATAATAGTTAGTGCCATTTAGCTCTGTGCCCTTTGATCAATTTATTATTTCTAATGTTATTTAGTTATGTATCTCCTTGATTTGTGTATCACTTACTGTCATTCAGTAACACATATCCCTGAACCGTTTGTCATTTTAGTTTAATTCAGTTATCTCCTTCATCTATGAATCAGTTCTAGTGTCATTCATTTGTGCATCTCCTTGGTTCGTGTATCCTGTCTGTTGTCATTCAGTTATGTATCTATCTGTTCTGATTATTATTTCTGGTATCATTCAGTTCTGTATCAACTTGACTTGTGTATCATTACCAGTGTCGTTCAACTATGTATCTACTTGATCTATGTATAATTTATAGTATCATTCATTTTTGCATTTAGCCATTCAGTTATGTATCTCCTTGATCTATGTATCATCCCTTATGTCATTTACTTATGCATCTTTGTGATCTGTGTATCATTTCTAGTGTCATTTAGTTATATATCTACTTGATCTAAGTATCACTTCTAGTGTCATTTAGTTATATATCTACTTGATCTAAGTATCATTTCTAGTGTCATTTAGTTATATATCTACTTGATCTAAGTATCATTTCTAGTGTCATTTAGTTATATATCTACTTGATCTAAGTATCATTTCTAGTGTCATTTAGTTATATATCTACTTGATCTAAGTATCATTTCTAGTGTGTCATTTAGTTATATATCTACTTGATTTCTAAGTATCATTTCTAGTGTCATTTAGTTATATATATCTACTTGATCTAAGTATCATTTCTAAGTGTCATTTAGTTATATATCTACTTGATCTAAGTATCATTTCTAGTGTCATTTAGTTATATATCTACTTGATCTAAGTATCATTTTCTAGTGTCATTTAGTTATAATATCTACTTTGATCTAAGTATCATTTCTAGTGTCATTTAGTTATATATCTACTTGATCTAAGTATCATTTCTAGTGTCATTTAGTTATATATCTACTTGATCTAAGTATTATTTCTAGTGTCATTTAGTTATATATCTACTTGATCTAAGTATCATTTCTAGTGTCATTTAGTTATATATCTACTTGATCTAAGTATCACTTCTAGTGTCATTTAGTTATATATCTACTTGATCTGTGTATCATTTCTAGTGTCATTTAGTTATATATCTACTTGATCTAAGTATCATTTCTAGTGTCATTTAGTTATATATCTACTTGATCTAAGTATCATTTCTAGTGTCATTTAGTTATATATCTACTTGATCTAAGTATCATTTCTAGTGTCATTTAGTTATATATCTACTTGATCTAAGTATCATTTCTAGTGTCATTTAGTTATATATCTACTTGATCTAAGTATCATTTCTAGTGTCATTTAGTTATATATCTACTTGATCTAAGTATCATTTCTAGTGTCATTTAGTTTTATATATCTACTTGATCTAAGTATCATTTCTAGTGTCATTTAGTTATATATCTACTTGATCTAAGTATCATTTCTAGTGTCATTTAGTTATATATCTACTTGATCTAAGTATCATTTCTAGTGTCATTTAGTTATATATCTACTTGATCTAAGTATCATTTCTAGTGTCATTTAGTTATATATCTACTTGATCTAAGTATCATTTCTAGTGTCATTTAGTTATATATCTACTTGATCTAAGTATCATTTCTAGTGTCATTTAGTTATATATCTACTTGATCTAAGTATCATTTCTAGTGTCATTTAGTTATATATCTACTTGATCTAAGTATCATTTCTAGTGTCATTTAGTTATATATCTACTTGATCTAAGTATCATTTCTAGTGTCATTTTAGTTATATATCTACTTGATCTAAGTATCATTTTAGTGTCATTTAGTTATATATCTACTTGATCTAAAGTATCATTTAGTGTCATTTAGTTATATATCTACTTGATCTAAGTATCATTTCTAGTGTCATTTAGTTATATATCTACTTGATCTAAGTATCATTTCTAGTGTCATTTAGTTATATATCTACTTGATCTAAGTATCATTTCTAGTGTCATTTAGTTATATATCTACTTGATCTAAGTATCATTTCTAGTGTCATTCAGTTTTGAATCTACCTGATGTATGTATATATTCTAGTGTCGTTAAGTTTTGTATCTGCCTGATCTATGTACCATTTCTAGAGTCATTTAGTATATATATATATATATATATATATATATATATATATATATATATATATATATATATATATATATATATATATATATATAATATATGATCTATGCATCATTTATAGTGTCATTCAGCTACGTATCTATTTAATCTATGCATCGTTTCTAGTGGTAATTCACATGTGTATCTTCTTTATCTATGTATTATTTTCAGTAGCATTCATGCACGTGTATACCATCGATGTCTGTCGCTTCCAGTGTCACTCAGTAACGCGTTTATCTTCGCTGTGTATCGGTTCTGTTTGAGATCTCAATTCAATGGTGTTTCAATGGTATATATATATATATATATATATATATATATATATATATATATATATATATATATATATATATATTTATATATATATTGGTTCTGTGCGAATTACATTATTTTTCTTCTTCTTCTTTTTGTTTGGCTGTAAACTTCGGTGGAAAGTCTTGTTTGTTTGTCAATTTGGACTCTGGCTTTGTGTCAGGGCCTGAGTTTTGCGTGTCGAATCATTATACTGGCATTTTTGTGTTTAGTTCGTTGTTCCTTGATTCTCAGGCAGATGCACTTGGACTTCGAAGTATGTTCTCAGTTAGTTGACTACTACGACATGTTTATGGGAGGCAGTATGTCTTTTCTTGTTCTACATTTCGATAACACGACAAGTAGTTTACATAAAGGCGTGAATATCATATTGCTTATGTGCGTGAAATTATCTCCTAAGTGAATAGTTAAACCTCTAATCCTGAATTTAATTGATTTCAAGAAAGCATCTGACAGCTTATAGAGAATTTGGAATGCTACGTCATACTAGCTAAAATAATGCACTTTATTTGAAATGTATGTGATGGTTCAGAATGTGACCAGACATTTACTTGCATGCAGATTTATTCGACTTTCACGCTTTCATTGCCGTCAGACACACTGTCCCAGGATCGAAAACCAGACTAAATTTTCTCGATCATTCGGAGTTTAAAATATGTTTTTAACGAGTTCGCATTCCTACAGGTAATTAATTCGTGGTTGTTCTACTTCCCCACGTTTCAGCCAGTTTGCACGCTTACCCAGAGTTATTCATTATACGTTGTACTCGATACCATTCAACCAAATTCCAGCCATAATTTATATTTAGTACTTAAGATCACCTGTAAATGCAAACATTCATTAACAATAAGAAAATGATTCATTAAAACAATGTAGATGCCAACGCTGAGGATTTCTTCTGTGGGAAACCTGCTTCAGGCGTGCAGCTGAAGATCATTGACGACGATGGAGACAAGTGCCGGCCACGGCAGGCTGGGACAGTTCTGGTTAGAGGTATCTGTCTGTCTGTCTGTCTGTCTGTCTGTCTGTCTGTCTGTCTGTCCGTCTGTCTGTCTGTCTGTCTGTCTGTCTGTCTAACTATCTGTCTGTCTGTCTGTCTAACTATCTGTCTGTATTGTCTGTCTGTCTGTCTGTCTGTCTGTCTGTCTGTCTGTCTGTCTGTCTGTCTGTCTGTCTGTCTGTCTGTCTGTCTGTCTGTCTGATGTCTGTCTGTCTGTCTATCCATGTCTGTCTAATTATATGTCTGTCTATCCATGTCTGTCTGTCTGTCTGTCTGTCTGTCTGTCTGTCTGTCTGTCTGTCTGTCTGTCTGTCTGTCTGTCTGTCTATCTGTCTATCTATCTATCTATCTATCTATCTATCTATCTATCTATCTATCTATCTATCTATCTATCTATCTATCTATCTATCTATCTATCTATCTATCTATCTATCTATCTATCTATCTATCTATCTATCTATCTATCTATCTATCTATCTATCTATCTATCTATCTATCTATCTATCTATCTATCTATCTATCTGTCTGTCTGTCTGTCTGTCTGTCTGTCTGTCTGTCTGTCTGTCTGTCCGTCCGTCCGTCTGTCTGTCTGTATGTCTGTCTAACTATCTGTCTGTCTGTCTGTCTAACTATCTGTCTGTATTGTCTGTCTGTCTGTCTGTCTGTCTGTCTGTCTGTCTGTCTGTCTGTCTGTCTGTCTGTCTGTCTGTCTGTCTGTCTGTCTGTCTGATGTCTGTCTGTCTGTCTGTCTGTCTGTCTATCCATGTCTGTCTGTCTAATTATATGTCTGTCTGTCTGCCTATCCATGTCTGTCTGTCTGTCTGTCTGTCTGTCTGTCTGTCTGTCTGTCTGTCTGTCTGTCTGTCTGTCTGTCTGTCTGTCTGTCTGTCTGTCTGTCTGTCTGTCTGCCTGCCTGCCTGTCTGTCTGTCTGTCTGTCTGTCTGTCTGTCTGTCTGTCTGTCTGTCTGTCTGTCTGTCTGTCTGTCTGTCATTCCAAAAGTCCATTCATTGTCTACTCAGGTGTGAATTATTGTATACACACTTGCATTTAAGAACCGGGACCAGGACAACAAATCTTTGGTACAAGGCTAGGGAAGTCACCTTGGCTGCTACACATCCCTGTCTGTTTACTTGTCCCTTGACGTTTTTCATTCGCCCAGATATTTTCTCCGCCCATGTTTCGAAAGCTCCTGAGTTGTGATAAACTATAGATAGCACGTCGGCTAATCTTTTCAAAAAGTGTGCTAAACAGAGTGCCACGCAAGATGTCAGTATATTTTTCTACAATGAAATATAAGCAGACATAGAGGCGGGGCCCTCTAATAGTTGACTGCCTGGGCACTTACCGAGGGCCCCACTAGCATAGTTGCCTTGGCACTTACCGAGAGCCACACGAGCATAGCTACCTGGGCTCTTTCTGGGGGCCCCACGAGCATAGTTGCCTTGGCACTTACCGGGGGTCACACGAGCATAGTTGCCTTGGCACTTACCGGGGGCCCCACGAGCATAGTTGCCTTGGCACTTACCGGGGGCCACACGAGCATAGTTGCCTTGGCACTTACCGGGGGCCACACGAGCATATCTGTCTGGGCACTAACCGGGGGCCCCACTAGCATAGTTGCCTTGGCACTCAGCGGGGGCCACACGAGCATAGCTGCCCCATTCTGATCTGTATATGTCAAGGCACTCCTCATAAATACATTGGTCAGCTCTAGTTGAGTAAATAAACAATTTAAATATTTGTGTAAAGGCTTTAGCGAGAAATAAAAGAGTATCATTCAACAAGTGTAGGTTCAAATCTAAGCATCTCACAAACTGACACTGACAGCCCTACACATCAAAAGCTGTGAGCCTGTTGAATGTTTCTGGATGTTCCTCACCCTCTGTTCTCATTGATCAAAGAATGTCACAAACAATTGCCTCAAAGATGTGTGGACTATTTGCTGAATTACAAGCCCGGTTCATCAACTCATGAGTTTGCCGTCTATGTTATATATGCTGTAAACATCCTGAACTTGATGGGAGTAAGTAAAAAAAAAAAAATATTTAACAAACGATTTTATGGTCAAGGGTCTTTCTGATACTGATATTCAGCACATTTTAATGCTATGCTTGCTTTGTATATGGCTTTATAGATCATACACTAGAAACTCTGTAGCTGACAATAAACAGTTAGTGAACACAAGCTGACAGTCGGAAGGATAAAGCACACACCCAGAAGAAATGGGACATCTGTACAATATTTTATCACGATTGTTTGGTATGAAATGTTAGAAAGAATGATTAAAACAAGTAAGGTCATGCAATCAAAGGATGTGAACATCCTTGTTGCCTCGGGTCTTCTTAAGTCTTTGAAAATCTATCTCCAGGAAACAAGAGACTTATTTAATGAAAAGGATTTCAAAGCCAGGACATTTTGACAGTGATTGGCGTTGTGGTGGATAGGCGGTTGGAGATGAGGCGGCAGAGAGACAGTGATTGGCGTTGTTGTGGATAGACGGTTGGAGATGAGGCGGCAGAGAGACAGTGATTAGCGTTGTGGTGGATAGGTGGTTGGAGATAAGGCGGCAGAGAGACAGTGATTAGCGTTGTGGTGGATAGGCGGTTGGAGATGAGGGGACAGAGAGACAGTGACGACAACGAAATCCTAGTCTTAGTAAATATGACGGTCAGCAGAACTACCAGAACAGGTAAATTTTCAGTAACACTGAAAGTTCAAAGTGGAATCATTTCCTTGCTGTTCTGTACACTAATCTTAGAGGCTTATACACATAATGGAAACCCGTGTTCTTTCTTCTGTTAATTGAAAGCCATTGTTTCTGATGCACTAGTGATAGGGTGTGAACATCTGGAGGCCATCTTTCACAAGGATACAGCATATTCTGATGATCTTTTAAAAGAATGTGAGTACTTTAAGCACTACATGGCTCTTACAGACAATGATGTCACTGTTCCCGCTTTGTACATAACAATAATTTGGGCAATTTGACATCTCCCCCCCCCCCCCATCTCCCCCCACCCCCAATCCCACGAATGTTGAAAATGATATCCCGAAGACCACAATCTCAACAGTGTTACCAGCTGACGGTATCAAATATCTCTGATTCTGGGATAATTTACAACTCATCTGATAATTTGCTTTATGAAACATGTCAAACAACATCAATAATTGTATAGTGAGTGACATAATAAAATGTTTGAATGCTGTTGCAGGTGAGCGAATATTTTCTGGTTACTTTAACCTTTTAGAGGACCCAGATCCCAACACTGTCAAATGTTTCACCAAGGACGGATGGTTCAACACGGAGGATCTCGGCTTTTGGGATGAAGAAGGCAACTTCTATGTCCTGGGCAGGAACAAGGACACGATCATGTACGGAACTGTGGTTCTGTACCCGGGATGGCTGGAGGCGAAAATTCTCCAACATCCTGACGTGGCTGATGCTGTCGTCTTGCCTGTAAGTCCTGGTGTGTAGTTGACTTGCTTGTCGTTTCACTGTCTACACAGACACAGCGATTATACTCAAGATTTCACTAGGCATGGGTTTTAGTTGCTGTGGTCTCCGTGGCCGAGTGGTTTGAGGGATTGTTTCCTTTATCGAGAGTTACTGGTTTCTTGCAGGCTTTGTTTTTTCGGATAGCGCATATTTCTGGAATTCCTGATGGTCGATGCTGAAACTGGTGGCCTGTGGCTTTGAAAAAAAGGAAGGGAGTTGACTCATTGGCGGAGCCATATTAGGTGGTACCTTCTGCTGTACAATTTTATATCAGACCCCACCCCTACACACACACACACTCTCTCTAAATCACTCACACACACACTTCATACACAAACCTTCATACAAGTGTATTTTGAGAAACTGTTTGCGTTGTTGATATTGTATCACCCCTTTCCACACACATTTGTTACATGTTAAATTGCTTGTTTATTTTATTGTGTAACATCTAACCACCCTCTCAATCCCACCCCTGCCCCCCCCCCTAACCGTGGAGCAGCTGGTTGAACAGATAAGAGCTCAGAACTCTCATACAGAAAAACAGGGTTCGAATCCTGCGTAAGGTTTGAGATCTGTTTCTGTCGAGGACGTAAACAAAATCCTAACCTGCACAGTCCCAAGCTTAAGGACCTCCCCCCTCCTCCCCCCCCCCGGGGCTACACCGCAATACTGGCAGTTACAGTCAGTTTATGGCAGTCATCCTTCTCCACCCCCTCTCCACCCCCTCTCTACTCACACCATCCCCCCCCCCCCCCAGGCTACACCGCAATACTGGCAGTTACAGTCAGTTTATGTCAGTCATCCCCCTCCCCCTGCTCTCCATCCACCTACATATACAAATATTCTAAATTTTGTCATTTTGTAATCTGCAATCTACAACTGGGTGTCTCAGTTCCTGTGTTGACGCCCCTCCAGCCATTACAAAAGGTTGTCAACAATGTTCTACCACTGTCTCCTCCCCACCTCTGTCTCTCTCTCCCTCTCTCTCTCCCTCCCTCCTTCTCTCTCTCTCTCTCTCTCTCTCTCTCTCTCTCTCTCTCTCTGCAGTCGTCATAGCATCTTGAAGTTTTATAGACTAAAATGTATAAATATGTGTGTACTTCGTTTATCAGAAATGATAAGTTCTAAAAACAAGTTCTTTTGTTGTCTATTTATCTTTTCATTGTGTACAGTGTGAGATTAGAAGGCAGTTGACAGGGAAAGTTAGATGCGGTGCTAGATAGACAAAAGCAACTAAGCTGCATCTTCAGGTGACAAAGTCTGCAAGGGTTTCCACAAATTACTGTTTTGTTTGTTTGTTTGTTTGCTTACAAATGCTATTTCATAAATTATTTAAAGGAATTATATGGTGAAATATATGTGAGTTTGCAGAACAATCTTTATTATTAAGTAAAAATTTAAAACCGACATATTTCCACTATCTAAATATTTTCCTGGTGAATAAAACCAAATACAAATTAGCGGCCTCTGGGCTAAAGGCTTCATCAAGTCTAAAACTGGGCCTGTGTGGACGGCTAGCACTAGACAGTCAAACAAGTGTGCATGCCAGCGAACACTCAGTCAAACAAGTGTACATGCCAGCGAACACTCAGTCAGTCAAACAAGTGTGCATGCCAGCGAACACTCAGTCAGTCAAACAAGTGTGAATGCCAGCGAACACTCAGTCAAACAAGTGTGCATGCCAGCGAACACTCAGTCAGTCAAACAAGTGTGCATGCCAGCGAACACTCAGTCAAACAAGTGTGCATGCCAGCGAACACTCAGTCAGTCAAACAAGTGTGCATGCCAGCGAACACTCAGTCAGTCAAACAAGTGTGCATGCCAGCGAACACTCAGTCAAACAAGTGTGCATGCCAGCGAACACTCAGTCAAACAAGTGTGCATGCCAGCAAACACTGGAGTACCATAGGAGACATTAGACGTGTGTAAGGGAAGGAGAAGACTGAACTCTGTCGGTACCGTACAGTTTACCTTGTGGTACGTGAAGTGAAAACAGAATTGTTATGAAAAATCAACAGTTCATTGATGACATTCAAGGTGACCCCATACATAGCAGTAGTGACTATTAAGGGAATCCAGATTTGTGTGTGTGTGTGTATGTGTGTGTGTGTGTGTGTGTGCGTGCGTGCTTGTGTGTGTGGGTATGTTCTTACCAAATTATAAATATGTGTGTGTGTGTGTGCATGTGTGGGTATGTTCTTACCAAATTATATGTATGTGTGTGTGTATGTGTGTGTGTGTGTGTGTGTGTGTGTGTGTGTGTGTGTGAAAAACAGATCACATTATGTTATGGAGTGAAATCAATCTTTAGAGTCATTCGGACAGCAAGTGTTGCTTAGGATTGAAATGGTTCAGACTAAAGTTAAGCACTGGTCAATAAGCACCTCGGAAGCATACATTTAACCACGGATTTATGGCAACTTCCGTACGTGTGGTGTGATTTGTGTATACAAATGGCTCTTCGCTGAGAGACAGACAACGTGTATGTAACTGGAAATAAAGTCAAATGTGCGAAGCTTTTTTTTTTACAGGCAAGTTTAGCGTATGGTATCACATTTAGCCTGAGAATGGAGGTGAGGCAGACAGCAGATTTTCGCTGACCTGAAGGCCAGCTGTACAAACATGTGTGAATGCTATGTGCTCAGCTGTACAGGCATGTGGGAATGCTATGTGCTCAGCTATACAAACATGTTTGATTGTTATGTGCTCATATAATTTTATAATTGATTGGACAGACATGCTCTGAGAAGGGCGGCAACCTTCCATAAAGATGTTTCGGCTAATGAACTATGTTAGAATTAGTTTTTCCAAGGCTGTGCTAGAGTGTTTCAAAACACACATGCAGACATACTGACTAGTGAACTGATGTATGGCAAGATAGATATGGTCAACTCTGTTTGAGAGAGGATGAACACTGTGAGAAGCCAGTCCGGGTCTTTTGAGAGGGGTGAAGCGGGGGGTGACTAAAAAATGGCCAGCACTCAACATTCAGAAGAGCAAGATGGACATAGAATCAGATTACTGCTGACATTACTGGGTTTTATAGACATGTCATGACAACTCAGATGTCTATTATACAATCAATGTCTGGTTCAAGGCTATGATGTGTTTTACATATCTGCTGATATTTAACATCTCAGAACACTTCATCGTGGCCGTTTTTTCTCGCTTATAAAGAGTTTCATGTTCATCGTCACTCGACACTGCGATAATCATGTTCAGTGGTCAGTCATGTGATGTACCATTATGTGTAACAGTCTGTATAGTGATATCATCGAATCAATTAGTTTGTTTTCTTGTACTGTGTATAATGTATTTCTGTTTTTGCGTGTGTGTGTGTGTGTGTGTGTGTGTGTGTGTGTGTGTTTGTACAATTATGTCTATGAATGTTTTTTCAGCTCTCGTTCTCGCCCCGTCTCTCCCCTAGCGTATGGATATGAGAACAATCATGTGTATTTCAGGTATCTGACCCCGTGCGGTATCACGAGATCTGCGCATGCGTAACACCGGCGAGCGGAAGAAACATGACAGAAGAGCAGCTGAAGTCCTACTGTGAAAGTATCTTCATCGCTGACTTGACAAGTGAACAGACACCCATGCCCAAGTATTTCATGGTACCACTGTATTTTTGTATTTTACTTATATATAATAATTATTTCCCTTAGGCTACATACAATACTAAACTTGTTCTCACATTCTAACAGAAGATGTGTTTTTTTTTAATCGTACGTAAGCGAAATATTGTTGAATCCTAAATTAGGAATCAACATACCACTCGGGACACTCACATAAGCGCTCTGTCCCATCCTCAGCAGCAAGCGAAAAGTTCCAGCTGCGATAGTACCAGAGACTGTCTGATTGTAGGTCCGTCTCGCCGTTCCCTTGAGTGTCGGGTGTCGGAGAGATTCATTGGCAAAGCCATTCTTCTCAGACCGTAATGATCTAGTTATGCCTCCGCACTGTTCACTCGCTCCCAGAGGGCGCTCACAACATCTTGCTTAGTATCCATCAATTCACCAACAAGTTGAGCAGAACTGTCCAGTCTATCTGCTTGCTTGTTTCACACCTCAGGGGCATATCATAGCGAAAATATTCAAAGGATGCTAACTATGCGGGACATCTTAAGCGAGGCTTGCTACTCAGGACGGAACATGTCTGTCTCCACTTTTCTCAACAGGCTCTGTGAGTCAGTTATGTTTACATGTGTGTACAGCTGATTCTCAATCCAGAGGAAGGCAGAAGTGACTGCCTCCACCTACATTCTCAGGCTTGTGATATCATATGCCAGGCATTGTTGCACTAAGCTGTGTGATAAGGTTATTATGATCATAAAGTTATTATGAAGCAGGAAGTAGCCGATAGCCCTAGTATAGCCTGCCTGCTAAGTCCAGACGTCTCGCACCGTCCCTGCTAGATGCCGTCAAGCGCAGAGCGCGTGCTTCGTAGCTCCGGCGACGTTTCTCTCAATGCCATGCCGGCATTGTGAGAAATGAACAGGCAGACAGATTGGCTGAATCTGCACCACTTGGTGGTAAATTGATAAATGACAAAGCAGATGTGGTCAAGGCCATTTTGCAACATCTCACGAAGTCAGAAAAGAAATATGATTATTATGAGTTAGAGACATAGTCATAACAAGAGAGTCTGGCCGGCTCACTACACTCAGAGGGACGGCAAGAAGGGCATATAACCAGATTACAGACGGTACTGCTAATGTTGGAACTCTCGCTGGCTGCTGAAGATAAGGACAGGGTGTGCATGGGAATGCCATAAGTGCTGTGATGTCAATTCTTCACTTTTCTCAACTCAACGCAACTGATGCACTAACAGACGTCCATTCACCTTTGCACTTCGTCTTTCTCTCAACACAGAGCCACCTGTATAGATAATCACATCACCTGGGAGCGAATTGCCATGAAACATTTGTAGAGCTTCTGATCCTGCAGCACCAGCTGGCCAGTACCCTGCACTCACGACCTAAAGTGATTAGAAATCTACACAAGTCTGATTCCTGCTCGGACACTTTGACCCACTCTGTTCCTCACCAACATTTATCAAGCGTGGACACATGTCTAATTGTGTCTTCAGCTTGGGCAATCCAAGACCTTCCTCTTTTCAGTTTGTAACCCGTAGCTCTACCTAGGACTTCATACGGGAGGTCTGCAGCTACACTGAGATAGGACTTTGCCTGCAGAATTTTGAGCCTGTTTGCAATAGTAGGCAGTGCAATTATATATCGCAAACATTCTACCGGTGTATCTCTTGTACATCCCAGAATTACCCGCATGGCTTTATTCTGTACGCGTTCAAGTTTCATCAGCTGACTCTGCGATGCAGTAAACATTACAAGTCCATAATCTATCACCGACAGGATCACATTCTGGACCTTTAATAGCCCACCCCCACCCCACCCCACCCCTCTCCCTTTTTTTCCTGAAATGGAAGACATCCAAAACGGTGTGAGCTTTTGTTCTCACATAACCATCGGTGTCCAGCAGTTGATGGCAACTTCTGCTGCATGTGCCGGGGCTCCATTGGGAATAGGGAAAGGAGTGCGGGGAGGAAGGGGGAAGATACAGGAAGAATAGACGCACTGCTCCAACAAGCATGTCGTAGAAGTTGTGAAACAACATTTGTGATATTATTAGTTGCTTTACAACAACGATATATTGCATAAGAAAGAAAGTATTTTTGTCGGCTATCCTCCGACTAACGGTCGGCAAAGATGGCGGCGGCAAAATATCCAGCTGTGTTGTAAACAGTTAAAAAGTGAAGTGGAAACTAATAAGGAACGAAAACTAATGAGGAACGAAAAATGTCATACGAAATTGACTACTTACTGATAATTGTATACCTTTATATCTGGAAATTGTGGCACAGAAGTTGTAAATACTGCCCGAAAATCTGCTGTTTGTGGCTATTACGCCATTGAAACTCGGCTAAGTACGATTGTACCGCATTGCCATCGCACCTTTCTTTTTAGTAGCATCCACAGACCGGCTATCCTCCGACTAACGGATACAAAAACAGGGCCTCACTCACGTGTCAATTTCACACATCCAGCGACTTAATTTGCGGTTTTCCGGCGACTACTGCCACCGCCCAGAGTAGCCCGCACGCCGCTCACGCGGCGTGGATTGGGGCTAAACTAGATGGCTAGGACTCACGAGCAAAGCTACAGGAGATACGGAAGCTGCTGCTCGTGGAATCTAGCCATCTAATTTAGCCCCATCCGCGCCGCTACGCGGCGAGCTTTACTCGGCGGTTTGTTCCGTTTCTCAAAATTGTCAGCAGACACTAATTCTAGTTTTGCCGCGATGTGCTCGTGACCGCAAGTGCGCAATGACCCGTGACCGCAAGTGCGCAATGACCCGTGACCGCAAGTGCGCAATGACCCGTGACCGCAAGTGCGCAATGACCCGTGACCGCAAGTGCGCAATGACCCGTGACCGCAAGTGCGCAATGACCCGTGACCGCAAGTGCGCAATGACCCGTGACCGCAAGTGCGCAATGACCCGTGACCGCAAGTGCGCAATGACCCGTGACCGCAAGTGCGCAATGACCCGTGACCGCAAGTGCGCAATGACCCGTGACCGCAAGTGCGCAATGACCTGTGACCGCAAGTGCGCAATGACCCGTGACCGCAAGTGCGCAATGACCCGTGACTGCAAGTGCGCAATGACCCGTGACCGCGGCTCGGCTGGATATTTTGCCGCCGCCATCTTTGCCGACCGTATATCAGAGGATAGCCATTTCTGCTATAAATCATAAATGTTTACAATATTACAGATTTTCAGCACCTTCCCAGAGACCCCAACTGGCAAGCCGGACAAGCAGCTGTTGAGAAAACTGGCGGAAGAGAGGTTTGGTATTCAGTCGGGTCACGACACAAATGGAAGCAAGTGAAGACACTTCGCAACCTTTGAACGAAAAAGTTGCATATCGGTCTCAACTCCACCTCTTTTTATGACCATTCCATCATTTACCTATTCAGACATTGTAAAAACATATCTGTAAACCTGGTGCCATCTTTACCTGGAATGTTGGATACAAGTGATCTCCACTTTCCTCGTCTTGGTTGTACCACGGCCATCTTTAGCTATAAATCTAGAGTTGGCGGTGGTTGTACATATCGAAACCACCCTGTGTTATCCTTCAACTGGTATCGTTGCCTGTGTCTCAACAGCTCTCACGCAATTATCAATTTTACTAGTCCGTCGATTCAATTATTCTGTTTCCAGGGAAAATAACCTACTGTTGAAAAAAAAAAAAAACCGCATAACTACCGAAAGGATCACACATACTCACAATTTTGACCTTCTCTGTCTTTAAATGCAATAAGTGAAATTACTCAAATTTCATACAAGAAACCTTAGGGTTCCATCAAACAATTGACACGTGACTTTTTTAAATCTGGGTCACGATGATTTTAGGCGTACGACCTTTCCCGTGTGGCCTTCTCTTGCCTGGATCAGTGACGTGGCATCTCCTGAGCAGGGATGCGATCACATGGCTGATGTGGGCCAATGGGATTGATGCCCACTCTTTCTGGAGTGCCTGAAACAGGCCACGACCATTGGCTCGAGCCACGTCTTTGCAACTCATCTCCCCATGTGCTCAATTGGACTCATGTCTGCAGTCAGGGATGGACAGGGAAGGATATGAATATTATTGGCAGACAGGAACTGTGTTTTCAACTGTGCAGTATGGGGTCTTGCGTTGTCCTGTTTAGAAAGATATCTATTTGCATCCAAAAATTAAGGAACATGAATTGAAAAATATGTGGTCGAAGAATTTCATTGACGTATCGTTGCGTATTCAAGCTTCCTTCAATGTGCACCAAATGACTCCTTCCGTTGCAACTGATAATTCCCCAAACGATTATACCTCCATCACTGTCCAGCAGAGCTTCCGCAACACAATTTTAGGCTAAACCTTCATTTCACTTACGGTAGACCTAACACCGTCTGTCATGACGCTGCAGGAAAAAGAAGAAATCGTCATTAAACCAGACACGTCTCCATTGATTGCCACCTGCTCAGGGATGGTGTTGTTGCCCAAAGAGGTAGATTTTGGCGGTGGTTCACGTAAGAAAAGGTCCTTAGTGTGGTCGTCGTGCCCAAAGTCTAACGTCGTGCAGTCGGTTCCGAACAGTTTGACCCGACACCTGACGTCCTGGAGGCAACGCCTGCGCATTCGAGGAAGCTGTTGTAAACCTGTATCTGAGGTGACGAGGCCGAATAAAGTGATTCTCTGCTGCTTTTATCGTCCACTGCGATGTCGGTCTTTAAATGTTCGAGTGGCTTGCAACCGGTGCTGTCATCATGTGCAGGAAAGAAGAACTTCCGAATCTACGGCTCGATTCAGAAAATTAATATAGGGAAATGTCCTGAGGGGAAAAAAGTATTTATTTGAGTTTTATAATCCTGAAGTGAGAAGTTAGGTGATCAGTATTACCCTTCTTATCGGTAATAAAAGATAAGCCGTGGGCTTAAAATCAAACTGGGGTGACCTCACTACTAACTTATTGCCCCTAAGAAACTTACAAACAAATACATTTCATTACTCGTTCATACTGACATTTGATCTACGTACTATCTCATAACAACAATATAAAATTTAATAAATACATATGATCTTTAACAGAAGTTTTCCTTGTGTGTTT